TTACCCCGATATGCTAAATTTTTTAAAGAGTTATGTACTTCAAAATGGAAACTAAAAGGAAACAAAACAGTTAAAGTTAGTGAGAATGTTTCAGCTATTTTACAAAAAAGTCTGCCCCCAAAGTGTAAGGATACAGGAGTGTTTACTGTTCCTAGCAAGTTGAGGAACCTTTCCGTGCTAAGAGCTATGTTGGACTTAGGAGCTTCTATAAATGTTTTGCCATATTCACTTTTTCAAACTATCGGGGTAGGGCCTTTAAAAAGAACTTGAGTCATCATTCAGTTAGTTGATCGTTCTTTGGTGCACCTACAAGGTGTGTTGGAAGACGTTTTGGTTCAAGTGAATGAGCTCATATTCCCAGCAAATTTCTATGTTTTGGATATGGGAGATGATGACTCACCAAACACAGGTTCCATTCTTTTGGGGAGACCATTTTTAAAAACTGCCAGAACCAAAATAGATGTTTATGATGTTACCCTTTCAATGGAATTTGATGGTGAAGTTATCAACTTCAATATTTATGAAGCCATGCGTTAACCTGATGATGTTTCAGCTCTTATTTTTATTGATATAATTGAACCATTAAATGCATAATATTTTGAGATTGCTAACCGTGAGTCACTAGCATTAGTGCTCCACATAAATTTGTCTATTAATGCAGCTCAGGTTACACTAGAAAATTATGTGGTTGATAGAAAACTTCAAGAGATGGTAGCTCATATGGATCAACATAAAAAGTTGAGGTATGGTACCTAAACTCTCAAATTACCAATTTCTAACTCCATGCTTTTTCCTTCTGTAGTGCAAGGTCCCATCTTGGAGCTGAAGACACTTCCATAACACTTGAAATATGCATATCTTGGGGAAAAAGAAACAGTACCAGTTATTATATCCAACAAGCTGCCAGAAAAAAAAAATGAATTTGAGTTTATCAGAATTTTGAAGGAGTACAAGATAGCAATTGGGTGGACTATCGCAGACATCAAAGGACTCAGCCCATCTCTCTGCATGCACAAAATATTGATGGAAGAGGATTATCAGCCATCACGAGAAGCCCAATGTAGACTAAACCCACCAATGATGGAGGTGGTTAAGAAAGAAGTCGTGAAGTTACTATATGCTGGAATGATATACCCAATCTCAGACAGCAAGTGGGTCAGCCCAGTACAAGTTGTTCCCAAGAAGGCTGGTGTAACAGTGGTAGAGAACAAAGAAGGAGATTTAGTTCCAACTCGATTTTAGAACGGATGGCACGTGTGTATTGATTACAGAAAACTAAACGTAGCCACCTGGAAATATCATTTTCCACTCCCATTCATAGACCAGATGCGAGAGAGGCTTGTTGGAAAATCTCATTACTACTACCTGAATGGATTTTCAGGTTTCCACCAGATTCCAGTTTCTCCAGAAGATCAGGAGAAAACAACTTTAACCTGCCCCTTTGGGACGTTCGCGTATAGGCGTATTCCCTTTGGACTCTGCAACGCACCCACTACCTTTCAAAGGTGTATGGTTAGTATTTTTTCTGAGTACGTCGAAAATATCATAGAAGTTTTAAAGGATGATTTCACCGTCTATGGAGACTCCTTTGATATTTGTTTGAAAAACCTTACAAAATTTTATGAAGATGTAAAGAAACAGACCTTGTCTTAAATTTTGAAAAATGTCACTTTATGGTTGACCAAGGTCTGATTCTTGGACATATTGTTTCAAAAAGAGGTTTAGAAGTCGATAAAGAAAAATTCGATGTTATAAAGAGCTAACCGTCCCCGAAGAATGTTCGGGAAGTGCATTCCTTTCTTGGTCATGCAGGGTTTTATAGGAGGATTATAAGAGATTCTTCAAAGATATCAGTTCCCATGTGCTAGCTGCTGCAAAAAGATGTTAAATTTGACTTCAATGAAGATTGCAAGAGGGCTTTTGATGTGCTAAAAAATCTACTTACTTCTGCCCCCATCATTCAGCCCCCAGATTGGAGATACCATTCGAGATAATGTGTGACGCCAGTAACACTACTGTTGGAGTTGTTATGGGAGAGAGAAGAGACCGGGTCCACATGTTATATATTATGCATCAAAAACTTGGATAATGCCCAAGCAAATTACTCCACCACAGAAAAGGAGTTGTTGTCAATAGTCTTTGCATTGGAAAAATTCAGACAATATTTGCTAGTGATGAAGGTTATAATCTTTTATGATCACGTAGCCATCCGGTACCTTCTAGCCAAGAAAGACTCAAAGCCAAGGTTGATTAGATGTATTTTTTTTTTTGCTCCAGGAGTTTAACATAGAGATTAGGGACAAAAGTGGGAGAGAAAATTTGGTAGCTGCTCATTTGAGCTGACTCACCCCGCCTGAAGACCCAACACCGATCCGCGAAACATTTCTTGACGAGTATCTATTTGTTGCTCATAGCCCTCCTTGGTTTGCTGATATAGTAAACTATTTGCTTTCAATAGAATTCCCTTCAGATCTTACCCGAGCCCAAAAAGATAAAATAAAGAAGGAGGCGAAAAGATATGTTTGGGACGAGGCGTATCTATGGAAACACTGTGCTAATCAGGTGATTAGAAGATGTGTACCTCAAGATGAAGTCAAGTCATTCCTAAATTTCTGCCATTCAGAAGCTTGTGGAGGGCATTATGGTCCACAACGAATCGCATGCAAGGTCTTGGATAGCGGACTTTATTTGTCTCATATTTTTCGTGACTCTTTTCTGTTTTGCAAAACTTGTGAAAGGTGTCAAATGACTGGGTCTTTGACATATCGTAATCAAATGCCACTTACTCCAATCTTGGTGTGTGAAATTTTTGATGGGTCCATTTCCGCCATCTTTTGGGTTTGTGTAAATCTTACTTGTTGTGGATTATGTGTCCAAATGGGTCGAGGCAAAAGCTACATGAACAGACGATGCCAAGGTTGTCGTTGATTTTGTCAAAACTAATATTTTTGCTAGGTTTAGGACACCAAAGGCCATTATTAGTGATCGAGGCACACACTTTTGCAACCGTATCCTCGAAGCAGTCCTCAAGAAATATAGTGTCACACATCGGGTATCCACAACATATCACCCACAAACAAATAGGCAGGCTGAAGCTTCAAACAGACATATCAAGGACATTATAGAGAAAACCATCCACCCACTCAAGAAAGATTGGAGTATTCGATTAGATGATGTGTTGTGGGCTCACCGGACAACATACAAAACTTCTATTGGTATGTCACCATATAGAATTATTTTTGGTAAACCTTGTCAATTACCGGTTGAATTAGAGCATCGAGCTTATTGTGCTGTCAAAAAGTTAAACATGGGCATGGATGAAGCTGGTAAGAAAAGAATATTGGATATCCAAGAGTTAGAAGAAATTAGGAATGATGCCTACGAGAACGAAGCAATATACTAGGACAAGACGAAAGCATTTCATGACAAGATGATCTCGTGAAAGGTATTTGTTACCTGTCAAAATGTACTCTTATATCACTCTTGTTTCAAACTTATATCCGGTAAATTGAGGTCTCGTTGGGTGGGACCTTTTGTTGTTAGTAACGTGTTTGATCATGGTGCTATAGAAATAAAGAGTGAACAAACATGAAAGATTTTTAAGGTTAATGGTCACCGTCTCAAACCATTTTACGAAGGGTTTCAAGTTACAAATGAAGAAGTGGAGGTAGTCGCGGTCCCGACTTACCGCAATTGAGGAAACCATGTAACAACGTCGAGCCAACGCCAGAAAAACAAGCAGCTTGCCGGGAGGCAACCCGGGCGTTTATTTCAGTTTTCATTTTTACAAACTTCTTTTTATTTTTTTGTGTTTTAGCTACGTAGGTCGTCCCTTTTTAACCGAATCGTGTCTTTAAAATAACAAGTAGCAGAAAGAATTTGAAAAAAGTTGAAAAATATAATATTGGTGGAACCTGCGACCGCAAGCCTAGTCTTTACGATCGCAGGTTATGCATTTGTGATTGAAGCACATCATCGAGGTTTTTTAGTGCATTCTTTTTCGAAAATAGACAACCTGCGATCGTAGGTTTTATCCTTGCGATCACATGTATCTTATTTTTTTTTATCCATCTCGTTTTTGCAACAAAAAAAAAAAAAAAAAAAAAAAAAAAAAAAAAACTGCGATCGTAGGTTCCCCCTTGCGATCACAAGTGTGCACTTAATTTAATATGACTGTTGCTTTACCTCGAAAAATCGCAGGTACCCTCCTTGAGGTCGCACGTTGTGTCTCTGTGTATATATATCGATCGCAGCCTTATTTTCAACCACCACACTCCAAAAAATTCTCTCTGAAATTCACTGCAATTCGAGTTTTTTCACCCAAAACACTTGTTTTTCATCCAAATCACGCAAACAAGGTATCAATCTCTTCTATTTTACTCCTACAACATGTATACGGTAACGAAAATCATCATTTCACGGTTGAAATTCTCCAAAAATCTCATTTTCTTCATTTTGAAATTTCAATTTTTGTGAGTTTCGTTTTCAGATCTACGTTCCGTTAGTCATCTACAGGCCATATAAATTAGAAACGTTTGCTCCCGACGTATTTCAAAAGAGATTCATCCGAACGGAATTTCAAAAATCAAAAAAAATTTCGGCACGAAAAATATACTACTGCTCAGCGCACAGTCAGGTATCTTTGTTCTAAAACTGAATTTTTGTTTTTGTTATATATTTGTGCGGCCTTGCGTATCCGCATGGGAGTAGTTAAAATTACTTTTGTTTGATTATTATTTTTTATTACCTGGAAATTGTGTCTTCCTTGTCCCGCTTTTGACTTGAATATATATATATATATATATATATATATATATATATATATATATATATATATATATATATATATATATATATATATATCCCCTAGATCATCTCATTCACGTAGATAGGGTGAAGCTTTAGAGTCGCCATACACTGTCCAGGTGGACAATGTCACTGTAGATTTAGGTTCACGGGTTGCACTCGACTGTTACCAGCGACTTATTGACCACGAGATTATGCCACAGGTCTGGGCCCCTAGCCGCACACTTATGCAAGAACTCGATATTTATGATGGTGTTCACGCTCTTTTTGCCAATATTGGCTGGGAGCGCCTATTATCTGCGAACTTTGCCATTTGTCCTTTACTTACCCGAGAGTTTTTAGCTACCCTGAGCGAGGTGAACCATGACAAAAATTTTGCTTTTCGCATTTTTAGCACCCCTCACACTCTTCACGTAGACCATTTATGTACTATATTTTATACCTCCGTCACTAGTTTATCCCATCCCACTCCCACTTTTGCCGTCCGCGAGTTGTCGTACTCCATCATCGGTTTGGATAATTATGATTCGGCTGCATCCGTACAGACTAGCATCGTGCACCCTGTTCTTAATATTGCATTGAAAATTATATGCAATATCATTTATGCATAGCTTGAGACTACCAAAGTTGGCAAAGCCGAGCTTTTCATTTTGTGGTGCATGGTCACCGGTTTAGACCGCCCGCATTTTGGTGATATTATCACCAAACGGTTTCACAGAGTTATCGGGTTTTGCACCGGCGGTTCCATTCGCTGTGGTGGTCTGATTAGTATCATTGCTCGCTCCATCGCGGAGCAATTCCCTCTTGGGTAAACTTTCTTTCAGGCTGAGTCCTTCTGTTTGACCCTGTAGACCCTTCGGGTTATGCACATGCTTCATACTGCCCCAGGTAGGTATGTTTGGATGCAGGGTCACTCCACTTACTTCAAGGTCATTGGCCCTGATGTCATCACCCTAGCACACCCCATTAGCGACATTATGTGGGTTCTCTCGTCGAACATCCCACCACCTCCTCGCCCACGCAGGGCACAGCAGGTCAAACAGCCACAACATGATCGGCCATCTTCGTCCACTTAGCACCCAGACTACGCAGACGCCATACGTGTTTCCTTTAGCTAGCCTGATCCCATGCAGACTTACTTTTAGGATCAGCCCCCACCCACTCCGCCATCTCACCCTGACCCCAACTCCCCCTTCACCTACCAACATTATCTTGACCTCTGTCAGGATATTGCTTCTCTTCAGCACACTATGACTGGTCTCCGCCTCCATTATCAGCTATATAGCACTCAGGTTACCGGTTATCATCACAAACTCTTAGTGTTAGAACAAAGTTCTATCAGGATCGTATAATTCTAAGCAGAATATAAATAAGAACGTAAATAAGAACACAAGTATTGCAAAGAATATGTCGAATGATTATTGCAAAATACCCCAGAAGAGCTCGATTAAGAACTTCAATCTGTAGAGGTAAATATTAGGGTTACAAGAATCAACGTGAACAACTATTCTATTATATACACATACATGCATGCATATATTTATAACAAAACCCTAACAACTTATCTAGTTAAGGAAACTATTCTAGATAACTACAGATGGATAAGCCCAATCCGATTACAAATGAAAAAGCCCAAGACGCAACACTAAAATATTCAACAATCTCCCCCTTTGCATCTTTGGAGCAGAATCTCTATTCTCTTTTCACACCAGTGGGCTTCTTCACCGTTTCAAATATCCTCGATATAATGGCCAGAACGTGTTGTCTAAACGTTATATACCACCAAAGCATATCTGTAAAATTCTTCTTGTCTGATGGTGAGTTCTGCTTGCATCGATGAATGATGTTGATAATATGCTCCAAACAATCTATTGAAAACAGATGCTTGTCAACCAATGCAAACAGAAACTTATGTCGGTCACCCTTAGTGAACATGACAGTCAAGTTGATTGAATCAATCTGCCCCAACCTCATTTTATTTACATCACCGGGCTTAGATGTTGGCTTGACTGTCGGCTTCTTATTCATCACTCTTGCTATCTCCTGATCCATTGTGGCAAGCTCATGGATATAGGAGGCCAACATTCTTTTAAGATGTTTCCAAATCGGCTCATACTCTTTTTGATTTGAGAGCAGATTGTTGTATAGCAAAATCCAATCATGAGGATTAAGATTGGTAAGATCTGCCAGAGAGATAAAATATTCAGTGTTTGCAGTACCACGGTTAATCTTGAGGTGTACAATCATAAATCTCCCAGCAAGTGATGATTTCAATACCTTGACTCTTGTAATCTTCTGTGCACTCCAAGTCAAGTACTGCGGTTGATCGTTCTTCAAATAAAAATCGACTAACTCCTTGTCAACCTTCAAATTGGGAAAAGGAACCTCAGCAGTGACCTCAAAGCAATGATAAGTAAATGCTCTTTTAGTGATTCGCATGTCAAACTGCGAGTCCTTTGAGTTTTCACATTCAAAAGAAGCAATCGGTTCCAACCAATACATGGAAGGAAACTCAATCGCCTGGGTGATAAGAGTATCTCTGTCCCACTCGGGAAACAGAGTATTTTTGTACTGCAAGACCTCCTCTTCTTCCTTACTCTTTTTCTCCTTCTCTTCAGCCTCTTTTGCCACCTTCATAGTCTCATCAAGCTCTCTGTCTCGTTTCTTTCTTTTGAGTGCTTCGACAATAGTCTCTTCAAGATCAGAGTCACTGTCGTATAGAATTTTCTTTCCAGAAACCGAAGCTACATTAACCTTCGGTTCTGTTTCGACTTTACTCTCCTCTCCCCCTTGTTTCGGAAGAAAGACTTTCTCCGAGACACCTTTCATTTCACTAAGAAGAGAAATGGAAGGAAGAAGTTTAGTTTGGAGATGCTTCCGAATAGTCAAAGTCAAAATGGGATCATGGGCTTCGAGAAGAGCAGTCAACATATTCTTCACATCGCCAGCACAACTTTGAAAGACAGCCCGTTGAGTCTTGAGCAGAGACATCTCCTTTTCTGCCTGGGCCAGGTGTACTTTCTGTAGCTCAATAGTTGCCTAGTGTTTGATCAAGTCCTCTTTCAATGTGCTTTCTGCAGTTAAAGAAGCAAAACGAGAATCCAAGGATTGAAGAAAAGATGTGGATTCTGTTTTGAGATCAGCACGAAGGGCATCAAACTTGGTAGTTTCTTCTTGAAGAGTGTGGAAAAAGGAGTCCACAGAAGCTTGATATTTTGCTACATTAGTATCAGCATGAGCTTTGAGCGAATCAAGGAAAATCTGAGTTGTATGAACAACCTCAGTAACCTTCTCTGTGCCCTGGGAACATGAAGCTGTGGGCTTGTTAACTGCAGTAGTAGATTTGTCAATGGCTTCAGTATATTGCTGAACAACAGTCTTGACAAAAGCTTTCATGACAACCCCGCTATAAGCTTTGCTGTCTGCAAGCAGTTGGTCAAGCTTTTCATTAATGTCTTGAAGTTGTTGATTATTGGCAAGAGCATCAGCATCGGTATCAGTTGGAAGCCAGTAAGGACTAAAGTATAATGAATCATACTCTTCGTCATCTCCTCCTAAAGTAGCACCAGAGTTAGAAGATGGGGTGGGAGATGGTGGTTTAGAAACAGGTGGATCAATCACAGTTGTAGCCCCTGTATCAGATATATTGACTTCTACTGGGATTTGGGGAATGGTGGTGGTGATGGATTCTGTTGCAAGAGGAGTTGATATGGGTGTAGTGGAGACAGGAACAAAGGTATTGGTAGTTGAAGTTGGTAGAGAAGAAGTTTCAATAGGAAGGGTTGGTTTATCTATGGAACAGAAAGTGGAGCTTTCTGTTTTGGTGATTGGGTTGGAGTGGAAATTTTTGTGGGTTAAGGAGATGGAAGTCTAGTAGTTTCGGGAGAGACTGGTGGAGTAGGAATGTGAGTATCTCTAGGAGATGGAGGTAGGGTTGGAGATCTCATTGGTGTAGGCTCTCTGGTGAAGACTGGAGGATTCTCAGTTTCGGTTTCTTGATCTTCAATGGTTTCAGGTTCAGGAGACCAATTTCTCTTGGGCCTTTTAGCCATCTTTTTAATCTTCTTTGGCTTTGTTTCAGAAGAAGCTTCCTCACCAGCCTTTCGCTTTGAAATTTTCGGCTTTTTCTCCTTTGCTTCTTCTTTCTCTGTTTTCACCACCCGCTTGCCTCTGGTAGCAGGTTGTTCCAAAGCATCTAGTGCAGCTTGTTGTTCTACAGACAAGACCCTCAGACCAACTGGAGACAATTTTCTGTAATCTTCCATTACCGTGCTTTGTGCTGTGACACACCTGTACATCGATTCAGGAATTGATCCATAATGAGGAAACTTACGTGGATTAGATAAAATAATCTTTGTGGTGTGAAATGAAGCGATAGAGGCAAGAAGTTCGTCTTTCATAACCGGAATCTCCAAAGAATCCATGGCTTTTCTTGTAATCACAGTCCAGAAACAGCCACATGAAATCTCTGAGTGACGGGTTGTGGTATTCAAACTCTGCACCACTTGGGACCAGATTATCGTGCCATAATCTATATTGATCCTGTTATATATACCATAAAGAATGGTGAGAAAGCCTTTGCTTGTGGTATCAGAACCACCACTTCTTTCCACCAAACCCTTGATGAGCAGGGTCAACAACCCATTCCACTACGATGGTAAGTAGGACTTCTTGACCTTCGCCATCAATGTAAGTACGTCGGTGTACCCCATCTCGTACAGAATTGTGAAGATTTGGGTTGTTGTGATGAAGTCTGGTGAGATGATGGAGGAATCTACTGTGAGCCCTAAAAGGGGAACAAAACTTCGTCTTTGAAATCGAGGATTTCTTATCGTGATTAGTGAAGTACATGCGATCCTTATTCTTGTCATACTTCGCTGATGAGTACACTTGAGATACTAGCGACATCGGAACTGCTTCGACTAGGGTTAGGGCCATTACCAGAGGGGGAATACTTCAGACACTCCACCACATGCAACATATATGAGTCATATGCGAATGGACTCATTTCGATTAACAGATTTTGGTTGGGTCGGATTGTAAGCAAGGAGGATGTTGCAGTTTGATGATGTGCGGAGGAGGAAGTCCCCATTGATGAACGAAGAAGAAGATGAACAGTTTAATCTTTGTATAAGAGAGATAATCTGAGGCTTTGTAAATGACAAATAAAACGATCACCCCTATTTATACGGTTGCCTGGAGAGAGAAATCGTGATGATGAGGTTGCTAAAACGTCGCCTGAAAAAGCGCGATTTGACAGTGTGGTTAATCCCTGGAAAACGTAAGCACGCGTGGGTTTGAAACGGATCAAATTCACACGCCCAAATCTTATCTTCGAACCGTTTGAAATTTCCTGTTACCCCGTGTTTGGTTACAACGGATAACCAAAACTTATACCAATCAGTAATTAGAATGTTGGAAAATATTAATTTTCGTGCATAAGAGTGTGAAAGATAAAGAAATAAAACAAGTATGTATTGGATGTGAGTGATGTCCTTTTAGAGGACAGAAAGCAAAGGATTTCGGGCAAGAATCACTTCCTTCAAAGTCAAGAGAGACTTGAAGTGCTTGTGCGGTTTCCCGAAAAATACGATCAACTGTTTGTTAATAA